CCCATCAACAAGGAATCAGAAATACTTTAATAATTCCAGGAAGAAATTACTTTAACTACATTACTCCATCTGTAATAGAGTGACTATAGAACCAGTTTGATATACGGTAACACAATTTCATTCAATATATATAATTAGGGGGTCCCCGCTCCATCTCGCCATCAGTTTGGGGGTCCTTGTCCTGGAAAACGTTGAAGACCCATGCTTTAGTCTATCTCTTTAGTTTATCCCTTTAGTTTTGCATGAAAAATACACTTTAAATTAGCTGAATGGGTGTGTATCCCTTTAGCCATTTATAAAACTATTTAATTGCTTAGTTTTTGGTGTTTTTTGAAGCATATGGTGATCTGACCTAAAATTGTTTTGGTTTTTTTTGTACAAAACTAATGGGATAAATGCAAACCTGTCTTGCACATGCATATTGATTATAGGTATGCTGGCCTGATGGGGTATGCTAATCTGACAGAACACCGGCCATAATGGAGGAACGGCATCATAGAGGATAAATCCTGCAGTTGTTGTGATGCTCCTCTGACAGAACACTGGCTACGGGGGGTGATGTGTTCAGCACAAGCTGCAAGCTGACAACACCATACTAACCACACAAGAAAGTAAAAAAAAAAAAAAAAAACCTTTTACAACTTTTTCAAATCCTCTTCATGCAGTCCAAGAGCCATCTCTCTTTAGGTTGCTTTTCCACAATCTGTTGATTAGTGGTGATATGTATGAGCTAAATCACAGAATCTCTAGATGTTTATATTTGTGATCCCTTGCCATTAAGGAACTGTTGCTCGCTCATCCTCTCCAATGTTCATGCGGATTAGGGTGCATACAAATTTTCCCAGGTGCGCGGTGCAGAGTTGTATCAGCAAATGACATAATTTGGCTCCACAGACCACGTCAAGTATAAATCAAGTTTAAGTTAGGCCAAAACAACAGAAGATCTGATACCTAGTAACTTAAGCTGGGAATATTTAAACTTGTGTCTCTGATTACTGGTTGCTGTAGATTAATATCTGGAGAAGACCAAAGCTAAGGCACCAAGGTTATATAATAAGGCAATATAATGAAAGGTATTACAAAGCTTAATAAGAAATCAAGACTCATTGAACATCAGATCATTACACACTGTAGCTTTAAATCTAAATCTTCTTGCAAACTTTCTGTTTGTGAGATTGTTTGTCAAAACAGGAATTATCTACAACTGTTGACGTGGATAACCAACCACTAATGAACTACAGCAAATATAAACTTTCACATTATTTCATGCCTCTGCCTTCACCCAATCAGAGACCCTAAAGTTATAGCTTAGGAAAACAGACTTTGTTTGAGCTTAACAATGTATTTCTAAGTCTTCGAAGGCACCACCCATGTGATTAATCTACAGCACCAGAGGTTAGTAAAGAACTAACATATTGCTAGGTCAGGGATTTAAACAAAGGGGGCCCACTGAGGCTATAGGGTATGGTCAAGTATAAAAACAAGGGTTAAATCAGATAGGACAGCAGTGCAGCGTTAACTGAAGAAAAAGCAGCATGTCACCCAAAAAAAGTGCCATGTCCGACATGAGCAAGGGCAAGGTAAGCTCCACAAGTTGATTTATTTAATGCCCAATAGTTTAGAGTAAAGGTTTGTTAATTCATGTTGCAACAACTTTGCCTTTTTTTCACAGATCACCTTCTATGAGGACAAGAACTGTCAGGGTCGCTCCTATGAGAGCAATGGCGACTGTGACAATATATCCTCCCACCTGAGCAGATGTAACTCCTTCAGGGTGGAGTATGGATTCTTCATGGTCTACGACCGCCCCAACTTCACGGGAAACCAATATTTCGTTAGAAGAGGAGAATTTGGTGATCACATGAGTACGATGGGTTTGAATGGCGGGATTAAGTCTTGCTGTCAAATCCCCTTGGTGGGTATGAAGAGAAAACTTGTATCATGAATATATTTGTCTACTTATACAATCGCGTTAATTGTGTACATTTCCCTCCAAACAGTATAGTGGAGCCTACAGGATGAGGATCTATGAGAGGGAGAACTTCGGTGGTCAGATGTATGAGATGATGGATGACTGTGACGACAT